CCTCTTGACAGTTTAGCAGAGCACAGCAGACAGTCTGCTGGTTTGTCCTCCGTGCTGCTCTTAAATATCTCCAAACTGCCGACGTTACTTCTTCTTCTTCTGCTTTTCTTCTCATCGTTCTTCTTCTGTTATTCGGGGGTGCGGTCGGAAATAACTTGTCAGTGCGTTAGCGCCCCCGCCTGGTATGGATTGTTGTTTACCCTTTGTGCAGCGCAGCACAGGAGGGGACAAAAGTGGTATCGGTTAAGAGTATCGGCTGGCTTTTACGAGTACGAGTACGAGTACTTGATGCTGGTATCGGATCCGATTCCGATACTGGTATCGGTATCGGGACACCTCTACTCTTAACACACTTCTGGTCTAAAAACTAACCTGCTACTAGCTTCCAAAATGCCGAAATCAATCCGTCTTCGACCCATCTCCAAAACCTCTCCAGAACCTTCCATCTCCACTAGCCTACCGACAAACTGTTTTGATTGGTTGTTTTGGAAATGTGGTGTGTTTGAGGAAATGGGAAAAATAGGTTTCATGGGACAGTCAAGCACTTCCTGGTCACAAAACGTTCTCTAAATGCGCACCAAATGCGTAAAAATGCGCACATTATGGCAAAAATTATTCATCATTAAATCTGGTTTTATTTGGAAGCAAATAAAAAATAAAACTATATAAAAACATTACTTTTGTAAAGTTTGAAGTCTGTGCTGTCCAAACCAATTCAAATGAACACTTTGTATGCTGCCACTTTTTTTTCCAGAAGTCCTATAAATTCATCACAGCTTTGCCCACTCCAGAGCGGGCGTCGACCTCAGAGGGTTAATCTGCAGTTTGTTTCTGCTGAAAGCTGATCTCACTGGAAGTCTTACCCTGCTCTGCTCTGATTGGATGAAATGGCTCTGGGTTTCATCTGAGTTTTTGAAAGCTGTGTCTGTTTAATCCTGATACAACAGGGTCCCGCTGCCCTCCTCGAACGACGAATCGCACCTGTGCGACTAGAACTTTTTTTTCTACGAAATCAGGTCGCATTTGCGACCAAATTGGTCACACTCTGGAGCCCTGCTAGCTGTTTTTTTTTTCACAATCGCTGGAACAGTCTTAGTTATGCATACATGTCAACCTTTTCGGACATTTACTTGTATAGAAAACCTCAAAAATCCGTAAAGTTTGCAAAAAATCCATACAACTGGCACCCGTGGGGGGGGTGTCTGTCAGCTGCGGACATGAAAGCGCCTGCTGCGAAGGAGGAGGAAATGAGAGTGGAAAACATTCAAAACTTATTTCTAGTGGCAGAACAGGTTGGAAGATGGCTGTTTAATGTTATTTGTTGTTTTTTTTTTCATCATCCTACAGGCGTTGGATAAATTTGAAAATGAGGTTTTGAAAAAATCCGTGAGATTGCTCTATACATCCGTATACCTGCAAAATGACGTAAAATCCTTAACTTACGGACAATCCGTACAAGTTGACATGTATGGGTATGCAAATGAGCCTTATGACATTCCATCTGGTGCACTATTTTTTTATTTTGATCGGGTATGTGCACCTGCGCACCACTTATGTGCACCTCTGTCCATATTTGAGCTGCTCTGCTCTTTTGAATAGTTTCCACTGATTCTTCTAACTTAAACATTTTGAACTTTGTTTCATTTAAAAGCATAATTTCTGCATAAACTTTGACCATATTTAATTATTTTGAAGCCATTTAAGTTCTAGTTACTTGCATTTCTGTTTTGTAATAATAAAGTATAAATTTACTCCTAATCAAGGTAAATTCAGTTTGTTGAATCGTGAGATTCAATGTTGTGCAAAGGTAATTTTTTAGAGTCATGCTGCGTTCACACCGAACGCAATTTCATCATCAGGAGCCTCAGGTTTACATACAAAGTCTATGGTGGACGCACTTCAATCAGCGTCAGGAAGTGCTGCGGCGCCTCAAGCGCGATTAGAGCAGCGCGATTTGAACGATTTGAACGATCTGAGCGTTCGACGCGCTGAGGCGCAAATCGCTGAAGTTAGAAAATCTGAACTTTTGCAGCTCGACGCGCCGCGTCAACCAATCAGAGAGACTCCACTGTGTGACGTAGCGACATATTTCCCAACGGGACAGTTTACTGAATGATGTCCACTAACCTGAAACAGATGGAGAGGAGCTCTTTAGCTGAAATCGAGTGCCTGCAGTCGGTGTCCTGACAGGAGATATCTGCACCAATACGTGGCAGCGGCTCATCAGACTGGAAAAATAGTCCTGAAAGCGAGCTGTGAGCCTCTACTCTGAATTATCTGGTGAATTAATTATGAATTAATTATCTGATGAACGTGACATGCTCTTGCTCTCTGTAAATAAAGCAAAGCCACTTCCTCGTCCGACATTAAACAGAGCCCGACAGAGGAGGGAGGGGCGGGGAGGCTCTTGCCGTGCAGCGCTTCAGGAGCTGTCCTGCGTCTGACCTCAAAGTGCACAAGCGACCAACTTCAGTGTTGGCTGCGATTTTGAAGCTGAAATCGCGTTTGGTGTGAACGCAGCATAAGAAGTGATATCCAGTGTTTTATAATGTCTGATGTTCGTGTCATTTTTTGTTTTAAATCTGTTTGCAGTGTGGATGCTACGAAAGAGACAGGTCGAATGGGTCGGTTGATAAATCACAGTAAAACCGGGAACTGTCAAACCAAACTCCACGACATCAGCGGCATTCCTCACCTCATCCTCGTTGCCTCCAGAGACATTGACAAAGGCGAGGAGTTACTTTATGACTACGGAGATCGCAGCAAAGCCTCCATTGCTGCACACCCTTGGCTCAAGTACTGATGAAGAGTGGGGTTCTTAAAACAAAATAGTCAAGGGAAGTGGGKTTTTTTTATATTGTGTAAAAAATGCCTTAGAACCAGAATTTGTGCCCTTTTTTGTTGTAATGCAGAGGAAGCTGGAGGTGGGTCATCGGGTACTTGTTACATTTTCATTGAGGTCCAACTATACTATTATTTATATGTGTCTCTAAAACATTCTGGTGGTTTGCCAGCACATTTCTTTTGTACAGTTTGTACTCCTGAAGACCAGTGTCTCTACAGCATGCAGGCATTTTTATGCATTTTTATAAACTATTTTTTTTAAATAAGTTACTTGGTGATGCTTTACGGTTAAAGGCCCTGAGCTCCTTTGAGATCAACAAGAACAAGTGATTCACCGTACGATGGTTCGGTTCACATTTTTAGGGTTGAACAACAAAAAACCTTCTCAAAAAATTGAAAACTGTTGTCATGTTGAAATGTGAAGTTAGCTTGAACATGCACAGTTCAGAATAACTGGTATAAATACATAGTTTTTGTTAAGTTTAATGTATTTTTAATAATATAAAACATACATTTGAATTCTGGTGTAGAAAATTTTGAGAAAAAAACGCAGAAGAATCTTCTGGATGTGTTTGAAGACGAGCGTTTGTGAAGATTTCTAAAGATCTTTTGCGCTCAGCCTCGTGTCCTTCACTGGATACTCAGTGCGTTAATTTTATTCTCAGATTTTCCTGTCGCAGCATTCTTTGACACAAGCACACGTAACAAATCAACAAGTGAACCTGTCACACTCAGCTGATCTGTTGGCAGATTCCAGACCAGTTTCGTTCAGGTCCTAGTTTGATTAGAAAGACATAAAAAAAGAGACTTTTTGTCAGGTTGTGATGACTGGACAGAAAAAAGAAAGTAAAAATGTAAGCACTCTTCTAATAACAAACCAAGTGTTATTAGAAGAACTTAGGTTCAAATATTTGGTTTCATGGATCAGAAATTCTCAGTCTAGTGCTGAAGGTACTTTTATCAGACTTTGATTTTTTTTTTTTAATGGAGAGGAGTGGCTAATCTCTGAGATTAAACTTACATAAAGTAAACATGAGGCATGACATGAAAAAATCTGTAGCAGTCCTAATTAATAATAAACGTAAAAAAAACCAAGTAAACCAAACAGCTAAATGACAATCAGAAAATATTTGAAAGCATTAGTGAATGAGAAAAAAATTAAGAAGCCAGTAGTAAAACCAGCTGTGTTTGTCTTTATAAAAGAAAAATCTTGAAATCGAGTTTTTGTGAAACAGAGGGTATAATTATAAAGAAGAGTAAATAAAGGTGAAAACGTTAATGTTTCTGTTGATCCGTACTCCAACTACACCCAGTTTGTGTTGGTAGTTTTGGCGAAATGTTTCCAGTTTTTAACCCCAAAGTTATTTTGATCAAAGCCAGCTGTTTAAACCACCACAGAGGTTTTATTTTACTCTCAATTTCAAGTGTAACTTTTCAATTTTATTTATTTTCATTAGATTTTACTACACATTTTCAGCTGAATTATGTGCATTTTCTTTCCTAAGAAAACCTGATCTGCGGGTTTGATGGTTTATAAATAAGACTTTCTCTACATACATATTTATAACTCAGGACCTTAATGCCGATAATGTTTAATTTACTTATACAGATCAATGATCCCTACAGCAGAATTCATCTGGAATTGTTGTCTACATATTCATGAATTTTAAAGGGTAAGACTAACAATTTTTAAAAATGATCAATACATTAAAGACCAAAAAATGTTTTTAATGTCTTAAAGTAGTTGCTGAGTTCGGATTTTGGGAAACAAAGCTGCAGTATGTTGGGAATTATTTCTAGTAGAGGATAAACTAACATTTGATGCTTTAACTGGCTGCATGGAGTGACTTTAAAGATATTTCATTGTGTGTTTGAGGTATTAAAGGACGTGGCTAAATGTTGGGCTTATTTGTGTTTCAGATAGTGCGTTAATATGCTGAGTCAGCTTTAACACTCTTTTCCTGTTAAGTTTCTTTCATACATTTTTAATTTTATTTTATTACTATTATTATTGTTATTGTTTTGCATTTAAGCTACTTCTGCATATTTTGGGCTATTTTACATATTCAAATATTCAAACATTTGGCTCTATTGGGAACAGTGTGCTCTGATTTTAAGTATTTGTAACTTTTATGCTTTAATTTTTTAATTTTATTTTTTTACAAAACACAAAAAATTGTTTTATTAAGATTATAGTTTTATTTTAAAATTTAGGTATTATTTCTGGTCCAGCACAGGACTGGTTTTTAAAAAGTGTTGGACTCAAAAATAGATAAATGCATGATAACTAAGACTATTTAAGCTGAAAACGATAAAACTCAGTGTTTAGGATTAGAAACAAAGCTGGCCACCATGTTCAAAACATATTTATGGTTTCTTGTTATGGGCAGAAACTTGTGCCAGCAGAAAATGAATTTGAATTGCTCAGACTGAATCTGTATAGGCGTAATTTGAAAGTGAACGCATTTGAAAATGAATTTCACTAAATTAAAACTGAATTTAATGGTTTGAAACTGAAATTAAAGTTTTGAATTTGAATTCATTTGCTTTGAAACTGTATTTTGTTCTATAAAAAAATCAGTTTGACTACTTTCACTTCCAAAATTCAGATTTTTGTGTCACACATCCTTGTGTCCTTTAGAAATCCAGCAAGAGTAATCAAACACAGATCGACAGATTTACGTTTCACTTTGGTGAAACTTCCTTTCTGTAATGTAACAGAGTTGATGCGATCCATCGTAAAAGTGACAAAAAAAGATATTTTATTGCAGTGATTAACTTATATAGAAATGTTGCATTTTTACACCACATCATGGATCCGTCAGCAGCAGCATCCGACCTGCCTGCAGCTGGGAGCGAGGACTGAGCCATCTGTCGGTGCATTGAGACCAGGCAGGAGATCACGGCAGCATCTGTTGCCTATGGAAGAGTTGCGTTCATGTCAGAGTCTCTATAACTCCGCTCTGCATTGTCAAGTCTGTCTGTTCCAGGGGTGCCCAAACATTTTCCCCGAGGGGGCCAAAATGAAAATCTATCCAGGGCAGTGGGCCAAATACAGTAATATAATACATGAAATGCAAATACTTTTTAAAGTAAARTCCTTTATTTTTAACGATTAAGCTGTGCAATGGCCCTTTGTTGTTTTAGTCTGTGCACTTGGAGAAAGTCTGCCATACGCTCAAGTAGCAAAGGCTCATGGGACATTTCATAAATTGATAAAATGAGTTTTTGTGGTCTTACAAAGTGTGCAAATCTACATGTGTGGTTAAATCTGAACAAAATATTTCTTGTCATTTCATGTTTCATGTTTAATCCTAAAAAAATCAAAGATAAAGTCAGCACCATGAATGAAAACTACCTTCACTACCTTATATATAAAAGGGCTGTATACAGCCCTTTTATATAGTAATTTGACCAATGGAAATACTGTGTATATACATAGGATAACAGGTTACAACCTTGTAACTTTGGCAACTGTTGGTGGGCCAAATCAAATGGCTTGGCGGGCCAAATTTGGCCCGCTGGCCCCACTTTGGGCTCCTCTGGTCTATTCAGTTCTAGGGTCGGATTTATAAAGCTYGAGTATGCACAAAACGGGCCATGAAACTTTCATACGCAACTTTTCACACGCAGGTTCTGATTTATAAAACCTAAACTTGGTGTGAAAATGTCAGCTGCGTAGCTGCAGAGCAGGAAACGGGGCAAGAGTGATGAACTGCTGAAAAACAGGTTGGGTTGTTTAATTTTATTTATTGTTTTTTAGCGTCCTAGGCTCTGAGAAAAAAAAAGAGATTCATAAGATTGCTCTCAACATCTGTATACCTGCAAATGAGGGAAAATCTATATGTAAATGATCAACAGACAGTTAATGTGAGCGGTCCTCTAGATCAGTATTTCCCAAAGTTGGGGTCGGGACCCAAAGCAGGGTCCCAAAACATCAAGGTGGGGTCCTGATAAGATTTTCTGACTTAGTTACATTTTTGGCTTAGTTGTTACAAATGAGTGAGGTTAGTATATTTAAAATGGATAAATGTAGTATAAAAAATATTGTTACTATGTCCATGTTTAGTTGACCTGATACAAATGTTTATCATCCAAACATCGTTGTGGGCACAGGTCTCTGC